AAGCATTTTTCTATTCTTTAAGGCAAGTACATAATTTTAGACTCCGGCATCTACACGTATGAGTATATATAAATAAAAGCATATATGTATAGACATATGAGTATTTTATATACATTATACTTCTACATTATGTATATATACATGTTATACAGATATACTTTATATACATGTGCACACTACATAAATGTGTACATACAAATACACATATATCTATGTATACATACATATATACAAAATATATATATCCATATTAACCTAAAGTATTTTACCAAAAGTAAAACTGTACTTCAGCGTGTGATTGTATTTAAGACTCTCGATAAAGCCTCAGTGCTTTTCCTGTGGAGCTGAGTGAGCCCTATGTGGCCTCCTAACACTGGGCATTTACCTTGCATTTACCTGATGTAACCTTATTTTTGTTGTTAACTCAGGCATATTATATATGTACAGTCCTTAACATAAATAACCCTTGGTGATTTTTAACAGCTACCAATTCTACTACCAAAAGCAAGTCTATACCCATTCTTTTCTGTTTTGCTGTTACCTCATATGTGCTTCCAGAGGCTGGGAAGTCAGCTTTCCACGCATTGTAGGAATATCATCAGCCACTACTAAATAAGATTCGGATGAGAGATCTCAGTAGTGAATGTGGAATGAAGGTGCTTGTTTTACCTGACTGTGGCTGACTTGGGTTTCTGGGGCTTTCTGGATAAATGGGATGCTACTCTACGTGCATTTTTAAATAAAATGTATTAAACCTCACAGGAATCTGACCCTGAAAAGTGACATCTTGCTTTCACCTACTGCCCTCTGATGTTGACCCAATTTTGTAGTTTTCTTCCCAAATCATCTCCTGTGTTTGATTCCTTTAGGACTATAATAACTTTTCTGTAGAATCCTTCCAACTCTAAGTGGGTATTCTAAATCGCGACATTATTTTCTTACAGAGGCAAGGTAGCCACATTTTTATATTCATTAACGAAACCTATTTCGATTTTAGTTAAAATTTCTTTTTCACAAGTATGTATTAGAAATGCTTGTCAGCAGATCAGCCGGGGAAGATAAAAAGCGAATCATAAAGCGGGGGGGGGTGGGGGGAATGGAAAGACTCCCACCCAATATATCTTTTTGGTTTGGGCTTGTTGAAAATGCATGATAGCCAGTACTTTAAAGGAGTGGTTTCTTAGGTATCATTTCAGTCTTCTGCTCTCTTCTAGCTATACCTAAACTGTAATCAGAGGTAAATCTGATATTGATGTAATGTTTGTAATGTATGCAGTCAGCATTTTAGAATCATAGTAGTATAGATGTGAAATTATTGCCATTTGGTTTATGGAGGTAATGGGGAAAAAAATGTTCCCAGATGAAGCATAGCAGAGTGCATCTCAATTGTGTGTGTGTGTGTGTGTGTGTGTGTGTAAAAGTGTAAGTATAAGCTATACAGCAGGGTTTCAAACCACAGAGGGCTTTTCCCTCTCACACAACATGTCGTCATGAACATGTGTCCCTGTGCCCACTGGCCTCTGTGGAGGAAATATGCGTGCCTACTGGCGCCTGTAAACTTATTACGTGCATTGAGTTCCTTTAAATTTTGTATTTCTGGTTACGCTTCTCCCTGTCTCTTATCAGGGTCACGTTTCTTATTCTGTTATAGATCATTGTACAAGATAGATCTGAAATTACAGACCATCAGTGGAATCCTTTTTTGAAGGAGGGGTGTGGGTATCACTTTTGTGATGGGAAGCAGCACACTTCGAGGTAACAATTTATACTTAGGCCTTAAATTGTATAAAATCACATAATGGAAAATACCTCGGGAGTAGGATAAGCATTTCAACAGAAACAGAACACCTTCTGTAAACCATTGTACAATTAGTCCATTGTTCTGTACTTAAAAAAAAAAAAAAAATCCAGCACTGGAAAAAAAAAAAAAAAAAAAAGGCATTTGAAAAGGTATATTGAAAAAGCCTTTGCTCAGCTTAAGTTTGAGAAAGAAATGTCAAGAATTCAAAACTCTTATCAGGCTGCCACACTTCCACTTTTTAAATTTTTTTTTATCCTTTAATTTAGAAAAATATAAGTTGCTGTAGCTATTCATTAACGAGTGGTCGTATGACCTCTGTGCATTCTGTAGGTTATGGAATAGCTGGATGTCCTCCAGGACCTTTTGGCCTTTCCTGCCTAAGCTGGCCATTAAATCCATTGCCTCTCATAAGGATGGGGAGAAGAGTTTTCACACCCAGTGTGGAGGAGAGAGAAAAATACATAGAACAATTAATTTTGAGCAGTGACGTACTGAGAGTTAGTTTAATTAATATTAATATTGAGAATTTCTTCCATTTTTATGGAGAATGAGTTATTGATCCTAGATGGATAATAAAATATTTGAAGAGGAGAAAAGGCTAGAGACCCTTCCAGCCATGAAGTGAGAGGTGGATCAGCTCTGGAGACTTGGAATTAGTCATAAAGGGGGGTCGGCTATGGTATTTGGGATATACAGGAAAAAAGGCCTTGGTACTTGGAGGTACATAGGAGAAGAGTCAGGGCAATAGTACAGATTCGATTTGCAAAGAATGAGCTGAGGAGGACTTTGAAAGCCAAACTGAGATGTTTAAACGATGATGGAGCCAACATAGCCACACGAAGATTTACTAAGACAGCTTCCAGGTTTTCCTTTCGCCCATGTCCTCTGTTCTTAGGAGGCCAGAAAAAAAAAAAAAAGTGGGATAGGATTATTTTGAAACGGAATCAATTTGTCTCATTTTACAGTTTTGGCCCTGAGTCTCAGAACAGTCAGCTCTCTCCTTTATGAGCGCATGTAACTCTGGACTGGTCTCCATATAGAGTCTAGAATTCTGACCTGAGGACAGGGATGTCAGACCAAGATTGTTTGAGGTATTTTGGCCCTGTTAGAAAATCACACTCTTGGTGCCTGCTGTTTATTTCTTACTTTACCAGTGGCACAATTGAAATTAAGAGTATGTCTGTCACAGGTGTACAAAGCAAAGATGTACTTGTAATCTGTCAATAGAAAAATGACACCATCTGTTGGCAGTGTAGAAAATGACACCGTGTGGATGTCATGGAGGGTCAGGTGTTAAGTCCAAAATTACAAAGAGGTCTGACTTGTTGATTGTTGCTGGGTTATAAAGAGTGCTGATTAAAAAGAAATCACTGATAGAAATAGAAAAACTAATACTATAAATTGCCTTTCAGATATTCCTTTTCAAATAGGTAAAATGTTTGTATATATAAATCTCAGGGTGGTAGAAAAAGAATAGACCAGAAATTGTGACCCTATGTTGAAGGTCACAGTAAATAAAGTAGGTTTGTCATATATTATGTGGTATAACTTATGGAGGTACAGATGCATTTCTCAACCTGGGAAGGGGGGTAGGGGTGGCTATTAGTATGCAAGAACACCTTGGTTCTTGCCAGAATGATCTAAAAATCCAGTTCCCTATTAAACTGCAGTCTTCTTAAACCTCATGTGTTTGCCCGATTTTAGTATTCATGAAGCCCATATATGCATTAAAAAAATAAAATAAAACAGTGACCCAGTAAAACAGAAAAGCTCGCCCATCCTTTTGACAGAGGATTTTCAGTTAATTTATGCAGCCCCTTTGCACTTCAGCATTTTCCCCACTGGTTGCTAGGCAACCATTTGAGTTACTGCGCATGCCTTTTTTATGATAACTGTCATCATGATTATTTTTTAATTATACAACTGGGACTATGGATTAAAACAGCACATTGTCACTCATTTTTTACTGTTGCTTCTAGCATTCTCGCACACTCCTAGAATCACCTTCTGAAATTTATATGGTAGTGATTTATGGTTATTTTTTTGATATTTCTGGCTTCACAAAGGAGATAGATATGGCATCGTAAGAAAAGTTGAGATTTTTGTGAAAAATGACTACACCATATCTCACAAGCTGTTATTGATCTGGGTAGGCCAAGTCAGATATTAGGCTCTTAAATCTAAATTACTTATATTTTATTCCTTTAACCATGTCCGCTTCTGATATTAAATGATATTAAAAGCTTATGTTGCTTTATAGTCTGTTTTTTAAAATTACAAAATGCTAAGCATTTGTTGCTATTAAATCTGCTCGCAGATACTATGCACTTGGGAGGAGGGTGCAGCATTAATCGCAGAAACATCAGGCATCTACACTTTCTAAACATGTTTGTTCTTTTCTGCCCAAATTGTTCCATATACACAGAAGTACAGTTAGGTGAGATGAAAAGGTTCCTCTGGCGAATAATAAAGGTATGTGTGGTACACAGTGTGTAAAATACTCTAAAAGGAACAAGACCGAAAAGATAGTCACTAGGTACATACAAAAGCTTTTCATTTGGGTTCCATAGTATATTCCAACATATTTTCTAAATAAAAAGTAAATATGAAGACAAAAGAATGTGGAAATAAAGCCTGTTTTGTTTTTGTTTTTTACCAACTCAGTTTTTATTCCTTTGAAAATGGAATTTTGGTTGAATGGGATATTTGGTTTTTTTATTAAAAATTATTGGGGTGACGTTGATCAACAAAATCCAATAAAGTTTCAAGGGTACACGTCAACAGTATGTCATATATATATTGCATTGTGCGCTCACCACCCGTAGTTAGATTTCCTTCTGTCACCAAATATTTGACCCCTTTTACCTCTATCTACCTCCCCCTCCCCACCTTTGAATAGGATATTTTAAATGTTTCTATAAAAATGAAGAGACATGTTTGCTCTGAAAGAGAAATCCACAGTGGACTTCCCATATCATATGTGTGACAGAGTGGGGACCTAATGGTATTTTAATGTGATTTTGAAGTTTGCATAAGGGACATTAATCTCCAGTAGAGCTGTAGAATTTTCCTTGATTTAAAGAGTCCCACGTGTATATGCATGGGATGCCAATTTGCTTTTTTGACATTTTCTGAAATAAAACCTTTCCTCAGTGGTGCATGATCTGTTATGTTTTTGTTTGTTTCCCTCACCCTACAGTTCAGGGCGACAGCTCAGTGAAGTCTTCATTCAGTTACCTTCAAGGAAAGAATTACCAGAATACTATGAACTAATTAGGAAGCCGGTGGATTTCAAAAAAATAAAGGTAGCTATTCTGTTTACAAACTTATTTTTAATAAAGGAGAAACGTAAATTCACTTAAATGATGATAGGACATGGCAGTGGCATCTTGCCTGACAGCCGCCGACACCCATCCAGGGCTTGTCACTAGAAAGGTTGGGATATCCTTGTGCCTTTTACATGTGTGTTATGTAATCATTATACTGAGAGCTCATATTTTATTATATTGCATTTTATTTAAGAAGTTTCAGACTTTCCAGACCCATTGCTCTTTCTCTTCCCCATCATACACTCCTTCCTCCTCCATACAGGAAAGAATACTAGTGGGAGTGTGGGCTCAGTGAACGGCACCCTCTGGAGTTGCCCCGCACGTCCCGGGCAGGGCCGTGTGCTGAAAAGAGAAAGGGAAACCCAGGCTTTGTTAACCAAGTAACGACTGTTGCATTTTCTCTACCTCTTCTTTCCTCTGTTTATCCAAAATTTTCATTAGGAAAGAATTCGTAATCATAAGTATCGGAGCTTGGGCGACCTGGAGAAAGATGTCATGCTTCTCTGTCATAATGCTCAGACGTTCAACTTGGAGGGATCCCAGGTCTGTCTTTAGTGTTTATGTTCTTTTAAGTAAAATATTTTGGGGTTTTGGGGGTTTTTTTTGGTTTTTTTTTTTGTTTTTTTGTTTGTTTGTTTGTTTGTTTTTTACCATTTGAACCATTGTTACTACCCTGGCAGAAGAAAAATGAAAAATAAAAGCCCATATTCCGTGCTACCTATATAAGTAAATTGATGCTTTGGCATTTTTATATTACTGCCACCTCCTCTGTACCATAGCTATGCTAACTCCTACTCATGCTTTCCTTAAAGCCTCTGCTTCTAATTAGAGGAGGGATTCAAGTAAATCACTTATTGTGATGCTTAAAGGTGGGAGGTCCAGTTTTAGCTTTTATAGAGATTGTGCCTTCAATTATATTTACCTTCATTTTTCTGATTGTAACCTTGCATCAGGAGCTAGAACTACTATAATTTAAAACAAAAATACAGAAAAAATAACCATTGCCTTAATTGCTTAACAAGAAATGCTTTTCATCAGGCCGATTGCAATTCTCTTTACTCCTTGTCTCCAGAGGAAGCAAGCATAAGAATATATAAGTGACACTGAATTTATTAAAATAACTAGGGGGATGACACTTTCATTAAAATTACACCTCAATTCTACTCACCTTTTGTAGGGACTCCCGTTTTCCTATCTATTTTTCTGGCCTAATGCCTCCATACCCATGAAGTGGAAGGAACAAGAAGAGAGGTCAGTGTGCCTGCCAACCGTGCAGTGTCACGCCATTGAATTCCTTAAGCCTCTTTCTTGATCTTCATGTCAATTCTGGTCTCTAAACTGGAGAATGAGAATCCTCAGGATGTGCCTTGAACACACTGTACATTTCTAGGTTAACAGCAGTTAACAGTAGTAGTATTTTGACCGAAACAGTAGGTCTAGAAAACAAACCTTGAGTTTTTAAGACACTCTTCAAAGGAAGATGAAAACCAGGACATGGTAAAGACACATGTCAACAGGGAAGTCTTTTTGACTGACCATTTATAGTTTCTGGATAGATTTTTGGGTTCTTTATAATACTGCGGCAATGTTGTAATACGTACCCTGTCCCTTTCCAGTCCACAACCTCCCTGTCTGCCCACACTCACTCTCTTACACCTGAAATGGGGTGATAAATGGCCTCTTGACAGGCTTCTCTCCCAGTCCATCCTGGATAGTAGTTTATCTTTTTCTACCCACTTTCTTATCCTGTCCGTCTACTGCCCAGCAGCTTTGCGGTTACCTATGCACTATTAAAGTCTAGAATGAACTTACTCTCCATAGGCTGTTTTCTAAAGTCGTACCCTACCCTGACTCTTTAGCCTCATTTTCTGCTGCCCCTCCACCTAAACAGTTCAAGCTCCCGTCATACTGTTCCCCTAAACACCTGCTTCCAAGACATGCATGCAGTTGTAAGGAATAGTAGAGGGCCGGTGTACCCTTGACCTCATCACAAGATAGTAACATGTTGTGTAACATAGTCCGATGTCATAACCCAGAAGTTGACATTGGCACAATCCCAGGTACATCTTTTTTATTCCTGCCTCCCCACCTTTTTCAGTTACTCTCCTTTACTAAAAAGCCCCTCTGAAATCATTTCAACTGCACATGGACTTTCTCCTATAAGAATATGTGTGTCTGTATTTGACTTGGGTATTTTCCTGTTTGGTTTTCCTATTGGCGTAAAAGCTAACATTGATGTTTCTACAAAAACTCACGCAAAATAAAGCTGGTGTTTTGCGTAAGGAAGGGAAAAGCATGCTGCACTTGTGAATCTTGGGCCCTCAGCTTGCAGTTTTTAACAGATGCCGCTTCGACCCTTTAGATCTATGAAGACTCCATCGTCTTACAGTCCGTGTTTAAGAGTGCGCGGCAGAAAATTGCCAAAGAAGAAGAGAGCGAGGACGAAAGCAATGAAGAGGAAGAAGAGGAAGATGAAGAGGAGTCAGAGTCGGAGGGTAAGCTCAGGTGTCAGGTTCCTCCACTGCTTTGCCCCTTGCCACCTGCCTTGATTTTTCCACAGAGGCAAACAGAACAGACATTAGGCAAATCTGGATTCCAGTCTCTGTTCTACCATGTCCTTGCCAGGCAACTTTAGACAGTATACCTAACCCAGCTCAAGCTCCTTTTCCTCCTCTGTAAAACTGAGGTGCTAAACATGCCCCCTTCCTAAGCATATAAAGGGGTTCACTGAAGGTTGCCTTTGAAAATCAGTGTAATTATACATTTTCTATCAACAATGGGGTTAATACCTCCTCCTGTCTGCTCTTGATTTAGCACAGTGGTTCTCTAACCAGGAGGGATTGATAGAGCATTTTTAACTGGGCTCCATCCCTGAGTTTCAGATTGAGTAGCCTGTGGAGGGGTCTCAGAGTCAGTATTTCTAACAAGTTCCCAGGGGATACTGCTGCTGCTGCGCCCAGGACCACACTTCTAAAAACACTGCTTTAGAAAATAATAGTCCCCCAGAGTTGAAACTGTGGTCTATTTTATCCATCATGGATCAGCTTTGTTAAAAATGTTGATATTTTGTTCATCATACATTTTTTTTGGCATTAATTTTGAGTTTTTTAAAATATTGCATTAGAATATTATTTATCTTGATTACTGAGTTTTGGTGGCCTCTTAAATTTTGCACCCAAGGCAGGTACCTCCCTTGTCTTAACGTAGTCACAACCCTGACTGATAACTTTAATATTTCAAAGGTTAAATCTACCTTCAAAAATCTAAAACATCCTCTCACCTAATTATATTTTTACCCCATACCTCTTCTCAAAGTAAAAAATCTCACTAGTTCGTGGTCTGCCATTCAAAACAGAATAGATATGGTTTTTAAAAAATGTATTAGGTTTGTTGCTAATTACATACTTAGTACAGAAAACCTAGAAAATATTTTTTACAAAAGGAAAATTTGTATAATTTTATTACCTTATATACATTTAATATTTTGAGAAGTTGCCTTCTAGTTTTTTTATACATAAGTATTTTGTTTATGAGTATAACATACTGTTTTATCTCATGATTTTTGTTTATTATGAATATTTTCCCATAGCAATCAAGTTTTTCTACAACTATGTATATTACCATTCATTAATGAATGTACCTAAGTGTATTAATCTCACTCCAAATAATGCTGTCCTGAACTTTCTTGCCCATAAATCATTGCAAACATTTTAAAACATCTGATGCATACGTATTACCACAGAGAATAAAGTTTATATCCTTGCCAGCAGTGTACATAAGTGTTTCTCCATACCCACATCTGTTCTCAGTATTATTCCTTTGAGTGATTCTGCCTTTTATTCATTAATTTAACCATTTTCAGTTTTTTATGATTATTACCTAATTTTAATATCGTACCTAGCATTTGACGAATAAGTCTATATAATCTGTCTCAGCTAGATAGTTCCTTATTTTAGAACCATATTTCTAATTTGTTTTCAAATAGCTGCCTTCTCATTTTATCTGTCAGTTTATTTTCTTTATCCATTCATCTCTTGATAGGTTGTTCCTGTATCTTGGCTATTGTAAATAATACTGCAGTGAACATGAGGGTGCATATATCTTTGAGTTACTGTTTTCGTTTTCTTCAGCTAAATACCCAAAAGTAGAATTGCTGGATCATATAGTAGTTTTTAATTTTGGGAGGACTCTCCATACTGTTTTCCATAGCGGCAGCACTGACGTACATTCCCACTAACAGTGTACAATGATACCCACTCTCCCATCCTTGCCAACACTTGTTGTTCTTTATTGATTTATTGATGATGGCCATTCTGAGGTGTGAGGTGATATCTCATTGAGGTTTTGATTTACCTTTCCCTGATAATTAGTGATGTTCAGCACCTTTCGTGTACCTGTTAGCCATCTGTATGTCTTCTGTGGAAAAAAAATGTCTATTTAGATCCTTTGCCCATTTTATATTGGATCGATGGGTTTTGTTGTTGTTGTTATTTAATTGTATGAGTTCTTTATATATTCTGGTGATTAATTATTTATCACTATATATGACTTACAAATATTTTCTTTCATTCAATAGATTCTTAACTTTTCATTTTGTTGATGGTTTCCTTTGCCTTGAAGAAGTTTTTTAGTTTGATATAGTTAGTCCCACTTGTTTATTTTTGCATTCACAGTCTTTGCTTTTGGTGTCAAATCCAAACGATCATCTCCAAGATTGATGTCAAGGAGCTTACTGCTTGTGTTTTCTTCTAGAAGTTTTTTGGTTTCAGGTCTTATGTTCAAGTTTTTGATCCATTTTGAGTTAACTTTTGTGTATAGTGTAAGATAGCAGTCTAGTTTCATTCTTATGCATGTGACTGTCCAGTTTTCCTAACACTATTTATTAAAGAACTGTTCTTTCTCCATTATATATTCTTGGCTCCTTTGTCATAAATTATTTGACCATATATGCATGGATTTATTTCTGGGCTCTCTAGTCTCTTCCATTGATATATGTTTTGATCACCATACTGTTTTGATTGCTATAGCTTTGTATTATAGTTTGAAATCAGGAGCTGTAGTGCCTCTAACTTTGTTCTTCTTTCTCAAGATTGCTTTAGCTATTCAGGCTCTTTTGTGGTTCCATACAAGTTTTAGGATTGTTCATTCTATTTCTGTGAAAAATACCATCGAAATTTTGATAGAGATTGCATTGACTCTAGAGTGCTTTGGATAGTATGGATATTTTAACAGTGTTAATTCTTTCACTTCCATTTATTTGTCTTCTTCAGTGTTTTTCATCACTGTCTTATTTTTAGTGTATAAGTCTTTCCCCATTGGTTAAACTTACTTTATTCTTGATACAGTTGAAACTGTACATATAAATAAATGAAAATATTAAAAAACAAACCATTAAAAATATGAAATATGAAAATAGTTAAAAATAAGTGGGATTTTTTAAAATCTCTGATTATTAGTGTATAGAAATGTAACAGATTTTTACATGTTGATTTTATATCCTGTAACTTTACATTATTTGTTTATTCTAACAGTTTTTGGGGGGATGTCTCTAGGGTTCTCTATAATATCATGTCATCTGCAAACAGTGATAAGTTTCATTTCTTCCTTTCTGATTTGGGTGCCTTCTTTTTCTTTTTATTGCCTAGTTGCTCTGGCAAGGGCTTCCAGTACTATGTTGAATAAAAGTGGTGAATGTGGACATCCTTATCTTGTTTCTGATCTTAGAATGCTTTTTGCTTTCACCATTGAGTATGATGTTAGCTGTGGGCTTGTCATATATTATATTGAGCTATGTTCTCTCTATACTTATTTCGTTGAGTTTTTTTCCATAATTGGTTGCTGAATTGTGTGAAATGCTTTTTCTTCATCTATTGAGATATTTTTTATCCTTCATTTTAATGCAGTGTATCACATTGATTTGTGAGTGTTGAACCATCCTTGCATCCCTAAAATAAATTCTACTTGATCATGACGTATGATCATTTTAATGTATTGTTCAATTCAGTTTGCTAATATTTTATTGAGGATTTTTACATCTATGTTCATCGGGGATATTAGCCTGTAATTTTCTTCATTTGTGGTGTCCTTGTCTGGTTTTGGTATTGGCATAATGCTGGCCTTCTAAAATGAGTTTGGAAGTGTTCCCTCCTCTTCTATTTTTTGGAAGAGTTTAAGAATGACAGATAATTTTTTTTAAATGTTTGGTGGAATTCACCAGTGAAGCCATCTGGTCCTGGATTTGTTTCTTGAGAGGTTTTCATTTACCAATTCAATATCCTTACTAATCAGTCTGTTCAGATTTTCTATTTATTCATGATACAGTATATCGTACATTGGTAATATACAGTAGTTGTATATTTCTAGGAATTTGTCCATTTCTTCTAGGTTGTCAAATTTTCTGTCATATAGTTAATTGTTCATAGTAATCTCATAATCCTTTGTATTTCTATGGTATCAGTGGTTATGTCTCTTCTTTCATTTCTGATTTTGAGTCCTCTCCTTTTTTCCTTGGAGAGTCTAACTAAAGGTTTGTCTGTTTTGTTTACCTTTTCAAAGAACCAGCTTTTTGTTTCATTGAACTTTTTCTATTTTTTTATTCTCTGTTTCACTTATTTTCACTTTGATATTTGTTATTTTCTTCCTTCTTTTAACTTTGGACTTTGTTGGGTTTTTTTTTTTTTTAGTTCCTTGAGGTATAAATTAGATTATTTGAGATCTTTCTAGTTACTTGATTATAGGCATTTGCTGCTGAGCTTCTTTTTAGAACTGCTTTTCTGTATCTCATAAGTTTTGATATGTTGTACTTCCATTTTCATTTCTATAAAGGTATTTTTTTATTTCCCTTTGATTTTTTTTTTTGGCCCTTTTTTTGTTGACCCTTTGGTTGTATCGTAGTATATTTAATCTCCACATGTGTATGAAGTTTCCAGTTTTCTTATTGTAATTGATTTCTGGTTTTATACCATCATGGTCAGAAAAGCTGCTTTATATTTAATCTCCTTAAATGTATTAAGGCTTATTCTGTGACCTCACAAATGATCTATCCTGGAGAATGTTTCACGTGTACTTGAGAAGAATGTGTATTTTATAACTTTTGGATGGAATTATTCTGTATATATCTTTTAAGTCCATCTGGTATAAAATGTCATTTAATGCCAATGTTTTCTTACTAATTTTCTGTCTGGATAATGTAGCCATTGATGAAACAGGAATATTAAAATTCAATACTATTATTATATTGCTGTCTATTTCTCCTTAGGTATGTTAATATTTGCTTTATATATTTAGGTGCTCCTATGATGTGTGCGTAAATATTCTTAAAGTAGTTCCTTTAACATTTCTTATAAGTCTGGTTTAGGGATAGTGAACTCTTTTAGCCTTCGCTTATCTGGAACGCTCTTTATCTCTCCAATTCTGAATGATAACTTTGTAGGTAGGATATTATTGGCTGGAAGTTTTTTGGTTTTTTTTATTTCTCAGCACTTTGAAAATACTATGCAACTCCCTTCTAGCCTGCAAAGTTTCTGCTGAAAAAATATGCCTTTAATCTTATGGGAGTTTCTTTGTATCAATTTGTTTTTCTCTCGCTGCTTTTAAGATTCTCTCCTTGTCTTTAATGTTTGACATGTTAATTATAATATGCCTTGATGTGGGTCTGTTGGGGTTCTTCTTGTTTGGCACTCTCTAGGCTTCCTGGATCTGGATGTATGTTTCCCTTCCCAGGTTAGGGAATTTTTCAGCCATTATTGCTTCAAGTAAGTTTCCTCTCTTCTCTTTCTGGTACCTCTATAATGCAGATTTGGTCTGCTCGATATTGTCTCATGAGTCCCTTACCGTATCTTCACTTTTTTTCATCCTTTTTTTCTTTTTGCTGCTCTAATTGGGTGAGTTCTACTGCTCTGTCTTCAAGATCATCGATTCTTCTGCTTCTTGTAGTGTGCTGTTGAACACTTCTAGTGTATTTTTCAGTTCCATTATTATATTCTTCAGCTCTATGACTTCTGTTTGGTACTTTCTTGTACATTGTATCTCTTTGTTGAAATTCTCACTGTGTTCATCCATTCTTGTCCCAAGTTCAGTAAGCATCTTTACAACAATTATTTTGAAGTCTTGCAGGTAAATCACTTATCTCCATTTCATTAAGGACGTTTTCTGAGGTTTACCTTGTTCTTTCGTTTAGAAAATATTCCTTTGTATCTTTGTTGTCCTGTGACTATGCCGGTTTCTATGTTATTCTCTAGAAAAAAAACAGCCACCTCTCCCAGTCTTGAAGGAGTGGTCTTGTGTAAGGGATGAACCTTATCATTCAACACTGCTCTAATTTTTGTTTGTCTCTTAAACCTTTATAATTGTCTGAGCAGCCTATTTTGTTTTTAGTGGCTCCCAGTAGTTCAGGGTGTGATAAGACCTGTCTCTGTGCCAAAGAGGAGAATCTCAGTCAGCCCCTATATTCAGGCCAGTTGGAGGCCAGATCCTCATGCAGCAGCTTTTAAGTTATGTAAATATAGAGAGTCCTGTGAAGACTGCAACCATAAGCCCCACTGACCACCAGAGCCAAGCAATCTAGAGGTATCCCATGGGGCAACAGTCACAAAAACCAGGGTAGCAGATATGTTGTTCTTGGCTGTGTCATCTTTGGTAGATAAGCTGTCTTCTGGGAGATACTTGCACTCTAAATGTGGCAGAGGGAGAGTACAAAGATAATGCCAACCCTCAGAGGTCTTTGGAAAGGATTACAGTCAGCCCTTTGATTTTGTGTTAAATTAGTGGTCTGCCCCTCTGGCCGGTGCTTTAAAATAAGCAAAATAAGCCTCTTTCACATAAAGTCTGGTCGCCTCTCAATCAGCTGCCTCTGCACTGGACCCTGGGGTCAGAGTCGTTTCTCAATTCACTGTTGCCCTGTGGGTCTTGTGGACATAATCCCCATTGGTTTTCATAGCTAGATGTTTTAGGGGCACATCTTAAAAGTTGAGGTGCCTGATGTGGGGTTCAAACCCATCACTCCTCAGGGAGAAGCTCTGGTTTTGAGTTCCTTCTTAGTTGTAGGTAGTCACACTAAGGGTGAGGTTTGTGGTGAGATTGCTTCTCATACCTGCCTCGATATGGGTTTTTTCCTCGTTTGCCCAATGTGTAGATGTCACTCGGCTAGTTCTGGGGGTTTTTAGAAAGAACTGTTTTATATATAGCTGTAGCTATGGGAGGAGGTGAGTTTAGGATCTTCCTATGCCACCATCTTGGACTGGGGCTTACTTGGTTAATCTAGGATAATCTCCTTAGCTCAAGGTCATCTGAGTAGCAATCTTAATTCCTTTTGCCATGGATTGTAACATATTCACAGGTTCTGGGGATTAGACATGGACATCTTTGGGGGGCTGTTACTCTGCTACCACCTTTGGTAATTAGAGCTTTTCATGAGTCCATATGGTACTATAATAAAGTCTTAGGGATGCTGTTTATAGGGCTCACCTGATGGTCTAGCCATTCATGGGAGCCTGTTAGGTAGGTTTGTGGGGGGTTTTTTGGTTTTTTTTTTGTTTTTTTTTTGGTTTTTTTGAGAGGGACGTATCCACTGACCCACAAAGCCTGATAGCTTAGAGTGTCCCACACTCCAAGGTTCATTTAGATCATGTTCTTGAGGATGCATTTTCTTACCTTTACTGCCCAGTTTTCTGCCCTTTCACACCTTGCATGGATTTCCTTTACTCACATGTCAGGAAGAGCTACACCTGTGTAGATAAAGATATTTCACTTGTTCTTTGCAAATTATTTAGAAATTTTTTTAGCGTCCTCTATATCTTCGTGCATTTCCATTAAAAGGTAGACTTTTTCATCACCAATCTTCTCTTTCTGTTTGAAATTACTCCACCCAAAGCCCCAGACCCCCACCTTATATAGCTCATTAAGCAGCAGACATTTGGATATGATAGAAGTCTTGACTAGGAATACTATTTTGTGTACTAGGATTTGCCAGCCTTTGCCTCATTTGGGAGAAGGGCATGTGCTGCCACAATACTTCAGAACAGCTCTGCTCTCATATTTTTTGGTTAGCCTACATACACTTTCATGGAAGATTTCATTTTTGTAAATGTTTTGTGGATATCTTCACTCCAAAAAACAAGTCTGAAAAATTCTCATCTCTGAGATTCCTTCAAGAGCTATGATTCTATCCATGATGATATCTATTTCTAGGTGCCTTGAGACCCACCAAACATGATATTCTAGCAAAACTGGTTTGAATGACATCCTCAGTGGCTCCATCATCAAATCCTAAAAATGATGTTCTATGGACACTTTTCCCAGAACAATGCTGTGGAACAGATTTTCTTTATACCTTGGGATACGCCCCTATATCTATTTTATAGCACTTTGAAATCTTCCAAATGTTTTTATTTCTGTCTTCAGGATAGCCCTGTGAAAGCAGAAGTGAGTGCTGTCTCTCTGAAGGCTACCTTAGCAGAACACTTTGATTTTGACCGTATGGGTATGTCCACCATACCCTGCCCCCAAATTTGACCAAGATGTCGACAAATAGCTTTATGGTAGCTTTGCTCTTAGTGGCAAAAAGCTGAGAACTTCAGTGCCCATCACTAAGGAACTGGTTAAAAAATTAGAGTGTACCCATAAAATGGACAATTTTCAGGCATTAAAAAGAATTAGGCAGGTGTTGTGTAGTAGTTGATGCATAGAAATGTCCCTACATATGTGAGTGAAAGAACAAGATGTGGAATATGAGCATAGATAAAGATCCCTTTGGGATAACTCTGTAAAGCATGCGTGTCTGTTTGTGTATACTTGGATTCTTCATATTCTCTCTATATAGAATTATGTGCAGAAAATTTTATGGAATCTGTATTTATAGAGAGAATCATACACACATACACAGGGATGGATGTATTTGCAGGTACAATTGTATACTTTTTTCCTGGAAATAATCACCAGAAGGAGAACAGTAGGCAGAAAGACTAGAGTTGAGGGAAGGACGCTTTCAAATTCATTTGTTTGAATATGTTGTTTTCTCACTTTCCATTTTGAACCTTTCTATGCTCTTAAAAGCATTATGCAACTCTTTGAATTTTCTTTTTGTTTGTCAACTAGAGTTATCTACACAATAAAATTGTTGGCCTTTTCAACCCTTTACATTTATTTACACTTTTTAATGTCAAAGATCTTTCTAAGTAGGACAGGAAGATCCTACCCTGTTCAGCCATTGGGAAACAGGAAAAGGACCCAGCCCAGCTGCCCTCCATGGGATCTCGTTCCCTCTTGGTGCCTGTTCAGGGTGACTATGTAACTTATCGTCCAAACCGAGACAAGTATTATAAGGGAGTGTGAACTAGACAGGATGATGGAAAACAGGCATCAACCAAGAATGTTCTGGGTACTCCTGAACATTTGATTTGTCATCTGCAGATTGACAGTCTTTTTACTACCTGTAGAAAGGTTTTCCTGTGATTCTTCATTGCTGTCTTTTGTTTTTGTTGTAGCAAAATCTGTTAAGGTGAAAATCAAACTCAATAAAAAAGATGAGAAAGGTCGGGACAAAGGAAAAGGCAAGAAAAGGCCAAATCGAGGAAAAGCCAAACCTGTTGTGAGCGATTTCGACAGTGACGAAGAACAGGATGAAAATGTAAGTGGGGCTGGCTCTGACTGAAGCTGGACGGCCCTCTCCGCTTGTTTTCCTCTCATATTTTCATGTGCCTTCTAACCTCTTTATTACCTAGAAATGAAAATGTAAAGATTTGGTGAGATTTCATTTTTGAAGGATGTGAACTGAGCTGCATGATTTATAACAAAGAATTTGGGTCTTTGTTTATTGCTTTTTTAATAGCTTTCAAAAATGAAAAACGCTAAATCAAGTTTCCTTTCCTCTTTCTTATCTTCACACTGCTTCCTTATATAGTTTTCTCCGTGGCCCGTTAATATTTTATATCTATAACACCCAGGATTGTGCCTAGTATATAGCAGTATATAGATGAAATGGTTCAATGGAAGAATAGGTGTTAGGATGTCAGAGTTTTGGTTTTGAGTTGATTTTTAAGATACTATACAAAAAAAAAAAAAAAAAAGATACTATACCAAAAAACCCAGATGAACTTTTAAATACCTAGAGATATTATTTTTAATATTTGAAAAGTTCAGGGACCATTTATGGAGCCAGGCCCTGAAATAAGTACCTTCCTATATGATACTATATTTAATGCCTCTATTAGCATCACGAGATAGCTATCACTCTCAACATGTAGAAATCAATGCTCAAGTTATATATTTTGCTCCAGGACCTATAAGTAGATAGCAGAAGCTGAATTCAGATCCACACAGCCTAATAACTCTGTCTAGTGTGCTGTCTCTGACTTTGGGCAACAAGGCAGCAGTGCTGACAGAAACTTCTAATACCTTCCCTTTTGTAGTGCCTTCCATTTCATTCACTTTTCAGAAGACCTCAGGTTCCCCACCAGCCAGCCCCTTACTTCTTTATTTCTGGAAAGTTAATTTTCGGCTTTAGTATGCATTCTTGTTTGATTTTCCTTCAACACATTGCCATTTGGGTCTGATAAAGTTTCAGAGTGTTTATCCCCCCTGCCCCACCTTAACCCTTGACACGAGCATTTTCACATAATTTAAAATACTGTGTTTTCTTCAGTAGACTTACCAGGAAGTAGACATCAGATTCATGGTACTCTTTTCTCCCATGAATTTTCTAAAACAGTGCTGAAAATAGAAATTATTCGCCCTAACCCTTTCATGCCAAAGTGTGAAAGAGTGAAACACTGGCATAAAGGGTGGACATTGCTTTGGGCTTTTTAATTCGGAACACCTTTTTCAGCTTAGAGGCTGTTGATGCCTCTTGAGTATCTTTCCATCTTCTCACAGAATAAAGAGGTTTGGAGGGTTATCTCTTTCTAAATGTCACTTTATTTTCTACATTGCCTCTTGATGGTTTATGTCTTCCTTTTCTTATTTGTAACTTTATTCCATTTTATCTTTTTACTTTTAGGAACAGTCAGAAGCAAGTGGGACTGATGATGAGTGATTGATATGGACCTTTTTTTCCTTGGTAGAACTGAATTCCTTCCTCCCCTCCCTCATTTCTACCCAGTGAGTTCATTTGTCATATGGGCACTGGGTTGTTTCTATATCGTCATCATAAAAACTAGCTTTAGGATAGTGCCAGACAAACGTATGATATCATGGTGTAAAAAAACACACACACACACACACACACACACAAATATTTGTAACATATCGTGACCAAATGGGCCTCAAAGATTCAAAGATGAAAACAAAGCTTTTGATGGAAAATATGTGGGTGGAAAGTATATTTCTATGGGTGGATCTAATTTGGTAAGTTTGATTGTGCCTGGTTTTATCACCTGTTCAGATGAAAAGACTTTTTTTTTTTTTTTTTTTTTTTTTTTTTTTGCACTGGTAACCAGGAAGCCCTTACAGGAGAAGCCATTAAAAGCCACTGGTTATTTTATTTTTCATCAGGCAATTTTCAAGGTTTTTATTTGTTCGGTATTGTTTTTTTTTACACTGTGGTTCATATAAGCAACTTTAATAGGTGATTAATGTACAGTAGTTAGACTTCACCTGCATAGACATTTTTCCATTTTATGCTCTATGATCTGAAAAAAAATGCTTTTTGAATTGTATAAGATATGTCTACTGTAAACATTGCTTAATTTTTTTGCTCTTGATTAAAAAAGTTTTGTTGAAAACGCTATTGAATATTGCAATCTATATAGTGCATTGGATGGCTTTTTTTGTCAACCTGATCTCTTATGTTACCAATGTGTATCGTCTCCTCCCTAAAGTGTACTTAATCTTTGCTTTCTTTGCACAATGTCTTTGGTTGCAAGTCATAAGCCTGAGGCAAATAAAATTCCAGTAATTTCCAAGAATGTGGTGTTGGTGCTTTCCTAATAAAGAGATAATTTAGCTCAACAAATGTTGCTTCTTGTTTTTGAGTGCTAGAGGTTTGAGAGCTGGTGCCTGAGTGAGTCTCCTGCAGAGATTTAGATAGGCTCTTGGTACAGAATACTTGGTAGGGGAGGGAAAAGAGACTGAGAGAGCCAGAGCCAGTCTTCTGAGACGAACCAGGTGTCACAAAGAAGAGTAGTCTTATTTGATGACTTTAACTTAAACAACAGCAGAGATACTGCCATGGACCAAGCCACACTAAACTTCTCAATCTTTTCTAGTGGTTTAAATTTCATTTACTAGCCAGAAAATATTTTCCTCCAAGTCAACATAAACTCACCTCAAAATTTTTTCTCTAAGAACACTTATTTTCTTTGTCATTTTATACACACACACACACACACACACACACACACACATTGTGAAAAGTAAAAAAGTACCCTTCCCCCCCGCCCCCCCCAAAATCACTCATAATAACTACAACTCAGAGCAAAGCACTTGAGATTTCCAGTTTTTGATCTGGCACAGAAGAGGCGTGTAAGTTATCTGTCCCATCCACACAACGAGAAAAAAAGTTGAACAATATCAGGCTAGGAAAACCTAATCTATAATTAATGCATGCTGGAGACTCAGTGCGGACAAGTTTGAAAGAAAAATTCCAGGGGGCGTGAGTCTCAGGAGGGGCCCCCACACTTTAATGAGCTTCACCTCCAGAGCATTATCAGGTTCCAGTGAAGATAGGAGGAAAAAAATCTTACCTTTCTAGCAGAGGGAGGAAGTGGCCATTTTGAAATATATCCAGTATATGCTGTTCTTAACAAGTCCTCAACAGAAACTTACCAGAGCCTGACAGATCTGAAGGAAGGGAAATAAATACCCAACTCCAGTACCCTCTAACCTTCCTGTATCTCCTAAGATGGAAAAACAAAACAGAAGGACTTATAAAGGTCACAGCCCAAGGGCACAGGCTCACTAAAAGACAGAGATGTAATGAAAGGATATAGAACATTTATCATCCCCCAACCTTCCCCTTCCCCTCGCCACTACATCAACAGGGCTTCTTCTGTATAATAACGGTAAGATAAAAACTGTACAACAAAGACAAAAATAAGAACAGGAAAGTTTAGCCTCTGACACCTATAGCTACAGTAAACAGCCAAACATAAAACCTCACACTAAATTCTTTTTACCTACTATAAAATGTCCCACTTAGCAACAAAAAATTACAAGACCAATTAAAAGACAACATGTTTTGAGGGGACAGCAAGCACAGATATGGCAGATTGGAATTATCAGACTGGGGATTTAAAACAACTTATTAATATGCTAAGGGCTCTAATAAAAGATATGCAAGAACAGATGGGTAATGTATGCCAAGAGATGGAAACTTAAAGAGTCAAAAGGAAATGCTAGAAATCAAAGCACCATAATAGAAATGAAAAATACCTTGGGTCAGCTCGGTAGACTGGACATAGCCAAGGAAAGAATCAGTGAGCTTGAAGACATGCCAATAGGAACTTCTAAAACTGAACTTTAAAGAGAAAAAAATGAAAAAAAAAAAAATCTAAGCACTGTGGGATAATTGCAAAGGGTATAACATAAACATAATGGAAATATACCAGGAGAGGAAAGAGAAAAAGGTACAGAGAAATTTGAAGCAATAACGACAGAATTTCCCAAAACTGAGAGATGACAAACTACAGAGCCAGAAAGCTTAGAGAACACCAAATTGGACAAATATCAAAAATCTACACTTAAGCATATCATATTCATATATTTAAACTGTAAAAAATCAAAGAAAAAATATTGAAAAAAGCCAGAAGGGAAAAAATACCTATAAAGTAGCAAGGATAAGAATTATATCCAACTATCCTCAGAAACCATGCAAGCAAAAAGAGTAGAGTGAAGAATTTGAAGTGTTAAGAGGAAAAAATCCATGAACTTAGAGTTCTGTATCCTGTGAAATTATTCAAGAGTAAAATACTTTCTCAAACAAAAAGAGTTGACCTGCCTTGCAAGAAATGTTTGTTAGAGAAAAGGAAAATAATACAGGTCAGAAACTTGGATCTATATAAAGGAAGAGTATTGGTAAAGGAATAAATGAAAATAAGAAATTTTATTACTCCTATTCGTAATTGATCAAACAGGTAAGAATTTGTTCAAAAAATAATTCCATGATTATAGCTTATGGATAAGTGAAACGAATGACAACAGTATTACAAGGGATGGGAGGGGGGAATTTTGGAATACTTCGTTATAAGATACTTGCACTATCTGTGTAATGGTATAGTGTTATCTGAAAATGGATTTATATTAATTGTTAATATATATTGCTAACTCAAGGGCAGCCACTAAAACAGGTACAATTTTATAATTGAGGAAAAAGGAGAGGAGAAAGAAATGGATATGAAATACTTAAAGCCAGAGGAGGCAGAAAGAATGGAAGACGACAAAAAAAAAGGACAAAAAATAGGAAATAGTATCAAACATGGTAGCTGTCAATCCAATTGTATCAATAATCACTTTAAACATCAATACTTTAACTACGCCAATTAAAAGATAGCGTCGGAGTGGACCAAAAGACAAAACCCAACGTTACGTCGTCTATAAGAAACCCATTTAGTCATATGTGGAAAGGGCTTCTTGAGAAATCCAAGTATCCCACATTTGCTCCTGTCATTAAACTTTGTTAAATGATGAGGACTCCTCTGTATGTTCTAAGAAGGCAAAGGTTGGCAACTGTGGGGCCCTGAGGCCTAGTTCTTTGCCAGTCCCCTAAGCTGGCAGGAATCTCAAAATTATTCTCCACCCCTGGGCTTCTAAGGAAATTTTCTTAGCCTGGTGGCTCTTGGGGAAGCTGGCCCATCCAGATGATGCTAGCTTTAAATTGCCTCTCTGTGGTAAGGTTATGATTTTGTTTGCTGAGGTTAAATAGAAACACCTCGCAGAGATAGCCTCAGCGCGTTTTGTAAAGGAGGAGCATCAAGGAGAGTTACAGGCTGAAAACTGGAACTAGACTTTGAAAGCAATAGAAACTGTATTTGATTCTAGGGAAACTCTCCCTATTTAGGAGAGTCATTTATTAAGGATGTGGATCCTCAAAAAATACTTCTAGGGAATCCAAAGAAATTCTGTAAAATTATATGGGCTGATGCAAACTGAAGGAGAGTATGCTCAGAATTAGACACCTTGATTACACTATCGCACGCTAGGTCCTATGCTAAGTGCTGGGGAAAATATCAAGGACAGTTAAGCTCCAGTACCTGTTCACATCCCCCTTACAACTGGGAACCCGAAAGCGAACAGTGTAAAGGATGTACACCAGATAAAAAGACACATCAACACTCCAAATAAAGATACCAGGACATGAACACATCACTCTTGGCCTCCTTCAGTAGCTCACAGAGGTGTGTTAAAAATTTCGTGGTCAACGCAGCCCATACAGAGTGGGGAGCTCACTGAGCAGAACAGCTCCAGTCCCCAAAGATCCTATACAACATGATAATAACTAGAGATATCCCATGCACATAAAAGCAAATATCAATGTGCTATATATTATTAATTCTAAAACATATATCTTTACATCTTTGAAAGACATTCAAGTCTTTCAATTTATGTCATAATTTAGATCGACAGCAATTTTCCTTTCTTAGTGATAAATAATAATACATTTACAATTGATGGTGTCTTACAGTCAACAGAATATTGCGCATTTTTTTACTTTTTTTAACACAGTGAAGATAGTAAAGTTATGTATGTTCTTCTGCATCTTACGTTCTCAATTTATCTTGGAGAGCATTCATTTCATTGCCTAAACTCATTCTTTCTAACTACTGCATGTATTCTATTATGTTGTTATCATAACTTATGTAAACAATTTCACATTGATGGGACATTCTGGTTTTTTCCAGTTTGTGTTTATTTATTATTGCCAAAAATGATGAATGTTAGGAGAAGGGTGAGAGCCATGTACTGTGGAGAAAACCTGAAGGTTTTGTGGAAGATGTAAAGTTAGATTTGAGACATAGGAAGGGGGAAACATGAGGCAGACCAAACTGCTATTCGAATTTTGATCTGGGTAGACCACGAGAAAGCCACTCGCCATCTTCCATTGGAAAAATATTAAGCATACTCTTGTATGTGCATATTCCAAACAATTCACAGGAAATGTTTGACTGAAGCTTCTTTTACTTGCCCAGAGCCCGTTCAGTGATCATGGAAAATTAATGCCCATCTCACTGTGCTGAAAGGGCCCTGGGAATAATCATTACTCACTTTCTCCTTCAGGCTGACCTGTTGCACATAGAAATGCATCTGTAGGAAGAGACAGTAAAAGACTAACTATTCGATGACGATTCAAGTAAGACTGAGAAACTTGCAGTGGGTTCCTAGAGACAAGTGAAAGCATGAATGCTGAAGAATGCGGACTAGGGTAAAAGAAACTAATCAAATGAGGAAAAAGAAATCAAAATGGCCCCGGGCTTAAGAAATTCCATCCATTCTGTCTCCTGCATTCAGTCTTGAAAATATCAGGATTTTAAAACAGTTCCATAATACTAGCATTCCAGTTCAGAGTAGAGGCTGGCTAATTCTTTAACTCAGCTCTTTTCTTCACACCAGTCCCCTTGAGTAGTGAAAATAATTGTAATATTGCTTGTAGTGTGCACAAGCTCCTTATGGATAGGTAGACACATAGATATAAATATAAAGATACAGATACAGGCTCATTTAAATCTGTAACAACCTTCTGAGGTAGGCATTATTATTCCCAGTTTACAGATGAGAAAAAAGAGGCTTAAAGAGATGGCCTGACCAGGGTCACTCAGCTAGTAAGCAGTGGACCTGAGATCCACTCTCCTGGTAGACCAGCTCCGCAGTCCTTGCTCTTAACTAGTACTCCAACTTGTACTCCAACTTGCCACTCAGTGTCTTTTTTTTCTGTACTAGACTCTATGTCTTTGGGGACAAAAATTATGTTATTCATCTTTGGATGAGCCCTCCTCCCTCTACCCACCTAAATAATA